GCGATGCTCTCCCCGGACGCCCCAGAGCGTCGCGATGCTCTCCCCGGACGCCGCAGAGCGTTGCGATGCTCTCCCCGGACGCCCCAGAGCGTCGCTATGCTCTCTCCGGACGCCCCAGAGCGTCGCGATGCTCTCCCCGGACGCCCCAGAGCGTCGCGATGCTCTCCCCGGACGCCCCAGAGCGTCGCCATGCTCTCCCCGGACGCCCCAGAGCGTCGCGATGCTCTACCCGGACGCCCCAGAGCATCGCGATGCTCTCCCCGGACGCCCCAGAGCGTCGCGATGCTCTCCCCGGACGCCCCAGAGCGTCGCGATGCTCTCCCCGGACGCCCCAGAGCGTCGCGATGCTCTCCCCGGACGCCCCAGAGCATCGCGATGCTCTCCCCGGACGCCCCAGAGCGTCGCGATGCTCTCCCCGGACGCCCCAGAGCGTTGCTATGCTCTCCCCGGACGCCCCAGAGCGTCGCGATGCTCTCCCCGAACGCCCCAGAGCGTCGCGATGCTCTCCCCGGACGCCCCAGAGCGTCACGATGCTCTCCCCGGACGCCCCAGAGCGTCGCGATGCTCTACCCGGACGCCCCAGAGCGTCGCGATGCTCTCCCCGGACGCCCCAGAGCATCGCGATGCTCTCCCCGGACGCCCCAGAGCATCGCGATGCTCTCCCCGGACGCCCCAGAGCGTCCCGATGCTCTCCCTGGACGCCCCAGAGCGTCGCGATGCTCTCCCCGGACGCCCCCAGCGCGTCGCGATGCTCTCCCCGGACGCCCCAGAGCGTCGCGATGCTCTCCCCGGACGCCCCAGAGCGACGCTATGCTCTCCCCGGACGCCCCAGAGCGTTGCGATGCTCTACCCGGACGCCCCAGAGCGTCGCGATGCTCTCCCCGGACGCCCCAGAGCGTCGTGATGCTCTCCCCGGACGCCCCAGAGCGTCGCGATGCTCTCCTCGGACGCCCCAGAGCATCGCGATGCTCTCTCCGGACGCCCCAGAGCATCGCGATACTTTCCCCGGAAGCCCCGGAGCGTCGCGATGCTCTCCCCGGACGCCCCAGAGCGTCGCGATGCTCTACCCGGACGCCCCAGAGCATCGCGATGCTCTCCCCAGCCGCCCCAGAGCATTGCGATGCTCTACCCGGACGCCCCAGAGCGTCGCGATGCTCTCCCCAGCCGCCCCAGAGCGTCGTGATGCTCTCCCCGGACGCCCCTAGAGCGTCGCGATGCTCTCCCCGGACGCCCCAGAGCGTCGCCATGCTCTCCCCGGATGCCCCAGAGCGTCGCGATGCTCTCCCCGGACGCCCCAGAGCGTCGTGATGCTCTCCGCGGACGCCCCAGAGCGTCGCGATGCTCTCCCCGGACGCCCTAGAGCGTCGCGATGCTCTCCCCGGGACGCCCCAGAGCATCGCGATGCTCTCCCCCGGACGCCCCAGAGCGTCGCGATGCTCTCCCCGGACGCCCCAGAGTGTCGCGATGCTCTCCCCGGACGCCCCCAGAGCGTCGCGATGCTCTCCCCCGGACGCCGCAGAGCGTTGCGATGCTCTCCCCGGACGCCCCAGAGCGTCGCTATGCTCTCCCCGGACGCCCCCAGAGCGTCGCGATGCTCTCCCCGGACGCCCCAGAGCGTCGCGATGCTCTCCCCGGACGCCCCAGAGCGTCGCCATGCTCTCCCCGGACGCCCCAGAGCGTCGCGATGCTCTACCCGGACGCCCCAGAGCGTCGCGATGCTCTCCCCGGACGCCCCAGAGCGTCGCGATGCTCTCCCCGGACGCCCCAGAGCGTCGCGATGCTCTCCCCGGACGCCCCAGAGCGTTGTTATGCTCTCCCCGGACTCCCCAGAGCGTCGCGATGCTCTCCCCGACGCCCCAGAGCGTCGCGATGCTCTCCCCGGACGCCCCAGAGCGTCACGATGCTCTCCCCGGACGCCCCAGAGCGTCGCGATGCTCTACCCGGACGCCCCAGAGCGTCGCGATGCTCTCCCCGGACGCCCCAGAGCATCGCGATGCTCTCCCCGGACGCCCCAGAGCGTCGCGATGCTCTCCCCGGACGCCCCAGAGCGTCCCGATGCTCTCCCTGGACGCCCCAGAGCGTCGCGATGCTCTCCCCGGACGCCCCCAGCGCGTCGCGATGCTCTCCCCGGACGCCCCCAGAGCGTCGCGATGCTCTCCCCGGACGCCCCAGAGCGTCGCGATGCTCTCCCCCGGACGCCCCAGAGCGTCGCGATGCTCTCACCGGACGCCCCAGAGCGTCGCTATGCTCTCCCCGGACGCCCCAGAGCGTCGCGATGCTCTACCCGGACGCCCCCAGAGCGTCGCCCTGCTACCCCGGACGCCCCCAGAGCGTCGCGATGCTCCCCGGACGCCCCAGAGCGTCGCGATGCTCTACCCGGACGCCCCAGAGCGTCGCGATGCTCTCCCCGGACGCCCCAGAGCGTCGTGATGCTCTCCCCGGACGCCCCAGAGCGTCGCGATGCTCTCCCCGGACGCCCCAGAGCATCGCGATGCTCTCCCCGGACGCCCCAGAGCGTCGCGATGCTCTCCACGGACGCCCCAGAGCGTTGCTATGCTCTCCCCGGACGCCCCAGAGCGTCGCGATGCTCTCCCCGAACGCCCCAGAGCGTCGCGATGCTCTCCCGGACGCCCCAGAGCGTCCGATGCTCTCCCCGGACGCCCCAGAGCGTCGCGATGCTCTACCCGGACGCCCCAGAGCGTCGCGATGCTCTCCCCGGACGCCCAGAGCATCGCGATGCTCTCCCCGGACGCCCCAGAGCGTCGCCGATGCTCTCCCCGGACGCCCCAGAGCGTCCCGATGCTCTCCCTGGACGCCCCAGAGCGTCGCGATGCTCTCCCCGGACGCCCCCAGCGCGTCGCGATGCCTCTCCCCGGACGCCCCAGAGCGTCGCGATGCTCTCCCCGGACGCCCCCAGAGCGTCGCTATGCTCTCCCCGGACGCCCCCAGAGCGTCGCGATGCTCTACCCGGACGCCCCAGAGCGTCCGCGATGCTCTCCCCGGGACGCCCCAGAGCGTCGTGATGCTCTCCCCGGACGCCCCCAGAGCATCGCGATGCTCTCCCCGGACGCCCCAGAGCGTCGCGATGCTCTCCCCGGACGCCCCAGAGCGTCCCGATGCTCTCCCTGGACGCCCCAGAGCGTCGCGATGCTCTCCCCGGACGCCCCAGCGCGTCGCGATGCTCTCCCCGGACGCCCCAGAGCGTCGCGTCCGCGATGCTCTCCCCGGACGCCCCACAGCGTCGCTATGCTCTCCCCGGACAGCCCCAGAGCGTCGCGATGCTCTACCCGGACGCCACAGAGCGTCGCGATGCTCTCCCCGGACGCCCCAGAGCGTCGCGATGCTCTCCCCGGACGCCCCAGCACGTCGTGATGCTCTCCCCGGACGCCCCAGAGCGTCGCGATGCTCTCCCCGAACGCCCTAGAGCGTCGCGATGCTCTACCCGGACGCCCCAGAGCGTCGCGATGCTCTCCCCGGACGCCCCAGCGCGTCGTGATGCTCTCCCCGGACGCCCCAGAGCGTCGCGATGCTCTCCCCGAACGCCCCAGAGCGTCGCGATGCTCTCCCCGGACGCCTCAGAGCGTCGCGATGCTCTCCCCGGACGCCCCAGAGCGTCGCGATGCTCTCCCGGACGCACCAGAGCATCGCGATGCTCTCACACCGGACGCACCCAGGAGCGTCGCGATGCCTTCTTCGGACGCCCCAGAGCGTCGCGAGCGCCCCAGAGCGTCGCGATGCTCTCCCCGGACGCCCCAGAGCGTCGCGATGCTCTCCCCGGACGCCCCAGAGCGTCGCGATGCTCTCCCTGGACGCCCCAGAGCGTCGCGATGCTCTCCCCGGACGCCCCAGAGCGTCGCGATGCTCTCCCCGGACGCCCCAGAGCGTCGCGATGCTCTCCCCGGACGCCCCAGAGCGTCGCGATGCTCTCCCCGGACGCCCCAGAGCGTCGCGATGCTCTCCCGGACGCCCCAGAGCGTCGCGATGCTCTCCCCGGACGCCCCAGAGCGTCGCGATGCTCTCCCCGGACGCCCCAGAGCGTCGCGATGCTCTCCCCGGACGCCCCGGAGCGTCGCGATGCTCTCCCCGGACGCCCCAGAGCGTCGCGATGCTCTCCCCGGACGCCCCAGAGCGTCGCGATGCTCTCCCCGGACGCCCCAGAGCGTCGCGATGCTCTCCCCGGACGCCCCAGAGCGTCGCGATGCTCTCCCCGGACGCCCCAGAGCGTCGCGATGCTCTCCCCGGACGCCCCAGAGCGTCGCGATGCTCTCCCCGGACGCCCCAGAGCGTCGCGATGCTCTCCCCGGACGCCCCAGAGCGTCGCGATGCTCTACCCGGACGCCCCAGAGCGTCGCGATGCTCTCCCCGGACGCCCCAGAGCGTCGCGATGCTCTCCCCGGACGCCCCAGAGCGTCGCGATGCTCTCCCCGGACGCCCCAGAGCGTCGCGATGCTCTCCCCGGACCCCCCAAAGCGTCGCGATGCTCTCCCCGGACGCCCCAGAGCGTCGCGATGCTCTCCCCGGACGCCCCAGAGCGTCGCGATGCTCTCCCCGGACGCCCCAGAGCGTCGCGATGCTCTCCCGGACGCCCCAGAGCGTCGCGATGCTCTCTCCGGACGCCCCAGAGCGTCGCGATGCTCTCCCCGGACGCCCCAGAGCGTCGCGATGCTCTCCCCGGACTCCCTAGAGCGTCGCGATGCTCTCCCCAGACGCCCCAGAGCGTCGCGATGCTCTCCCCGGACGCCCCAGAGCGTCGCGATGCTCTCCCCGGACGCCCCAGAGCGTCGCGATGCTCTCCCCGGACGCCCCAGAGCGTCGCGATGCTCTCCCCGGACGCCCCAGAGCGTCGCGATGCTCTCCCGGACGCCCCAGAGCGTCGCGATGCTCTCCCCGGACGCCCCGAGCGTCGCGATGCTCTCCCGGACGCCCCAGAGCGTCGCGATGCTCTCCCGGACGCCCCAGAGCGTCGCGATGCTCCCCCATAGCCGCCCCAGAGCGTCGCGATGCTCTCCCGGACGCCCCAGAGCGTCGCGATGCTCTCCCCAGCCGCCCCAGAGCGTCGCGATGCTCTCCCCGGACGCCCTAGAGCGTCGCGATGCTCTCCCCGGACGCCCCAGAGCGTCGCGATGCTCTCCCCGGACGCCCCAGAGCGTCGCGATGCTCTCCCCGGACGCCCCAGAGCGTCGCGATGCTCTCCGCGGACGCCCCAGAGCGTCGCGATGCTCTCCCCGGACGCCCCAGAGCTCGCGATGCTCTCCCCGGACGCCCACCAGAGCATCGCGATGCTCTCCCCGGACGCCCCAGAGCGTCGCGATGCTCTCCCCGGACGCCCCCAGAGTGTCGCGATGCTCTCCCCGGACGCCCCAGAGCGTCGCGATGCTCTCCCCGGACCGCCCCAGAGCGTTGCGATGCTCTCCCCGGACGCCCCAGAGCATCGCTATGCTCTCCCCGGAGCCCCAGAGCGTCGCGATGCTCTCCCCGGACGCCCCAGAGCGTCGCGATGCTCTCCCCGGACGCCCCAGAGCGTCGCCTATGCTCTCCCCGGACGCCCCAGAGTCGTCGCGTATGCTTACCCGGACGCCCCAGAGCGTCGCGATGCTCTCCCCGGACGCCCCAGAGCGTCGTGATGTCTCTCCCCGGACGCCCCAGGCGTCGCGATGCTCTCCCGGACGCCCCAGAGCGTCGCGATGGCTCTCCCGGACGACCCAGAGCGTCGCGATGCTCTCCCGGAACGCCCCCGAGCATCGCATGGCTCTCTCCGGACGCCCCAGAGCGTCGCGATGCTCTCCCTGGACGCCCCCAGAGCGTCCAATGCTCTCCCCGGACTCCCTAGAGCGTCGCGATGCTCTACCCGGACGCCCCAGGAGCGTCGCGATGCTCTCCCCCAGCCGCCCCAGAGCGTCATGATGCTCTCCCCGGACGCCCGCGGAGAGCGTCGCGATGCTCTCACCCGGACGACCCAGAGCGTCGCTATGCTCTCCCCGGACGCCCCAGAGCGTCGCGATGCTCTCTCCTGGACGCCCCCAGAGCATCGCGATGCTCTCTCCGGACGCCCCAGAGCATCGCGATACTTTCCCCGGAAGCCCCGAAGCGTCGCGATGCTCTCCCCGGACGCCCTAGAGCGTCGCGATGCTCTACCCGGACGCCCCAGAGAGCATCGCGATGCTCTACCCGAACTCCCCCAGAGCGTCGCGATGCTCTCCCAGCCGCCCCCAGAGAGTCGTGATGCTCTCCCCGGACGCCCCTAGAGCGTCGCGATGCTCTCCCCGGACGCCCCAGAGCGTCGCGATGCTCTCCCCGGATGCCCCAGAGCGTCGCGATGCTCTCCCCGGACGCCCCAGAGCGTCGTGATGCTCTCCGAGGACGCCCCATGAGCGTCGCGATGCTCCTCCCCGGACGCCCCCAGAGCGTCGCGATGCTCTCCCCGGACGCCCCAGAGCATCGCGATGCTCTCCCCGGACGCCCCACAGCGTCGCGATGCTCTCCCCGGACGCCCCAGAGTGTCGCGATGCTCTCCCCGGACGCCCCAGAGCGTCGCGATGCTCTACCCGGACGCCCCAGAGCGTCGCGATGCTCTCCACAGCCGCCCCAGAGCGTCGTGATGCTCTCCCCGGACGGCCCAGAGCGTTGCGATGCTCTCCCAGGACGCCCCCAGCCCAGAGCGTCGCGATGCTCTCCCCGGACGCCCCAGAGCGTCGCGATGCTCTCCCTGGACGCCCCAGAGCGTCGCGATGCTCTCCCCGGACGCCCCAGAGCGTCGCGATGCTCTCCCCGGACGCCCCAGAGCGTCGCGATGCTCTCCCCGGACGCCCCAGCGCGTCGCGATGCTCTCCCCGGACGCCCCAGAGCGTCGCGATGCTCTCCCCGGACGCCCCAGAGCGTCGCTATCTCTCCCCGGACGCCCCAGAGCGTCGCGATGCTCTACCAGACGCCCCAGAGCGTCGCGATGCTCTCCCGGGGACGCCCCAGAGCGTCGCGATGCTCTCCCCGGACGCCCCAGAGCGTCGCGATGCTCTCTATCCGAACGCCCCAGAGCGTCGCGATGCTCACCCGGACGCCCCAGAGCTTCGCGATGCTCTTACCGGCTCCCCAGCACGTCGTGATGCTCTCCCCGGAGGCCCCAGAGCGTCGCTGATGCTCTCCCCGGAAGCCCCAGAGCGTCGCGATGCTCTCCCCGGACGCCCCAGAGCGTCGCGATGCTCTCCCCGGACGCCCCAGAGCATCGCGATGCTCTCAACCGGACGCCCAGAGCACGCGATGCTCTCCCCGGACGCCGCAGAGCGTCGCGATGCTCTCCCCGGACGCCCCAGAGCGTCGCGATGCTCTCCCCGGACGCCCAGAGCGTCGCTATGCTCTCCCCGGACGCCCCAGAGCGTCGCGATGCTCTCCCCGGACGCCCCAGAGCGTCGCGATGCAATCCCCGGACGCCCCAGAGCGTCGCTATGCTCTCCCGGACGCCCCAGAGCGTCGCGATGCTCTACCCGGACGCCCCAGAGCGTCGCGATGCTCTCCCCGGACGCCCCAGAGCGTCGCTATGCTCTCCCGGACGCCCCAGAGCGTCGCGATGCTCTCCCGGACGCCCAGAGCGTCGCTATGCTCTCCCCGGACGCCCCAGAGCGTCGCGATGCTCTCCCCAGACATTCCAGAGCGTCGCGATGCTCTCCCCGGACGCCCCTGATTCGCGCGATGCTCTCCCGAACGCCCCCAGAGCGTGCGATGCTTCCCCGGACGCCCCAGAGCGTCGCGATGCTCTCCCCGGACGCCCCAGAGCGTCGCGAGGCTCTACCGGACGCCCCAGAGCGTCGCGATGCTTCCCCCAGCCGGCCCAGAGCGTCGTGATGCTCTCCCCGGACGCCCCAGAACGTCGCGACGCTCTCCTAGAACGCCCCAGAGCATCGTGACGCTATCCTCGAACGCCCCAGAGCGTCGCGATGCTCTCCCCAGGACGCCCTAGCGCGTCGCGATGCTGTCCCCGGACGCCCCAGAGCGTCGCGATGCTCTCCCCGGACGCCCCAGAGCGTCGCTATGCTCTCCCCGGACGCCCCAGAGCGTCGCGATGCTCTCCCCGGACGCCCCTAGAGCGTCGCGATGCAATCCCCGGACGCCCCAGAGCGTCGCTATGCTCTCCCGGACACCCCAGAGCGTCGCGATGCTCACCCGGACGCCCCAGAGCGTTCGCGATGCTCTCCCCAGCCGCCCCAGAGCGTCGTGATGCTCTCCCCGGACGCCCCAGAGCATCGCGATGCTCTCCCCGGACGCCCCAGAGCGTCG